TATATATTTATACATATGTATGTATATATTTATACATATGTATGTATATTTATTGCGATTTTTCTATTTTTCAAAATCAGTGAATTCGAGTAAAATGAAGAGCGCTGTGATCGTTAGAGAGAGAGGCAGTTCGCCAATCAGCATTGCACAGTAACTTTGGGCGATGTTTTGCCGCAAAAACAATTTGCTTCACGGCTGGGGAAGAGTGTTAAACTTCACTACAACGAAAAAGTCAGAGTTGCGGCCAAGCAGCCCAGACTCTGAGGACTTGTGCATAGCTAGTGGTGGTGGAGTTTTCGTGGAACAAATACAGAGGCAACCTCGTCGTGGTCATTGAGGAGCAAGCAGCATCATTAAACGTGTTTGTGGTTTTTTCCTCATTCATCGCCCCAAAGCGTCTGTTTCACACACTCCATCTCCATCACCATCTCAGTTGAGCCTCCTACAGCATCACTGAATTGGTAGCGTATTGAAATGGGCGGTAACCGTATGCTGTTTACTTTGTTATTTGTATTTTTGTTTATGCGCCTGCATTGTTTATGTGCTCATATGTTTGTATGTATGGCTGTGTGTCTAGGGAGATTACAAATACTTTATGCTAAGAGTGGCGCGTCAGCTATTGCTGCTCACGATTTCTGATATCCACATGCACGAGTGTTGCAGTAAGACGAACATTATGAATCTATTTTGCACGTTATTGTTGTAGGTAATGCAATTTGTGGAATGATGTTTTCTTTGCTGCAACACCGGCTGCAATACTTGCTCTATAGTAAGCAATTTCAGTCATGATTTTGTTCTCAATTGCAGCCAATTTGAACTTGGAGTACATTACGTATGTATGTAATTCTATTTCTCTCGATTTCTTTTAAACCTTAACATGCACATACGTACATATGTATATGCATTGTAGGCGCGGTGGTGCATGAGTTGTGAAAATAAACACCTCGTTAAGCGCGCATCACAGCGGCCGTGATGGAGGACTCCATGGCCGGATGGTTGGCCACTGGCGAACAAATCCACTCACACATAGTGATATACCTGCATATGCATGGAAATGTAAGAGCAAACTTGACACATACATACATACATATGTATGTATGTATGTATTTACATATGTATGAATAAATAAACTGTTTGCTATTCCCACAAACGATTTGGCACATTAATATTGGCGCTCCTTGCTGCAGATTTCTATAGACATGTGAGGGTATTTTTCGTTTTAATATATTTTGAGAATAATATCAGCCCACTGCATAATTAAAAACATTTTAAAATGCTGCGAATATCTAAAATGGTATAAATCGTATTAACACTTAACCCCGAAATTCGAATGACATTCTTTCTCGACAAGAAAAACCAGTGCAAAATCTAACGAAAATCTAATCAAGCAATATTTTACGACAAATAGTCGCTAGTTCTTTGTAGCATGAAGTTTACAAGTAATGGAAAGAATCGTTATTGAGGATTGTAGTGTATAGGGGACTTCGGAAATATGCTAGGAGAATTTGCTTCTATTGCGGAAACTTAATTTTTTATTAATTTTACATTATTTTTTGCTACTGACTTTCGAACTCCATTATATTATATAAACAATTTAAATTTAATATGTGTACACAACACTAAATTATGTGTTTTCATACAGACAAAAAAAAGTTATAACAGTTATATCGCAGTAAATATAAAAATTGAATTGAATTCATTAATACATTTTAATCATTACTAAAAGTTGTGGAGTTTTTAACATAAGCCAGCTATTAGATATAGGAATTTCTTCAGAAATGAAATGAACTCCTTATGGGCCAAAAATTAAAATAAACTTGTAATTTCTGTGGACTTTCCCGAAAAAAGAGGCATCAAATTCATGTATGCAGTATTTTTCTAGTTGTTGAAATATATTTTACTCATCTGTGGATATGTATATGTATACATACTATACAAATGTACATACATATGTGTGCATAGTTATTAGCGTGTGCTGGTTTCGGGTGTCTACTGTCGAGACTCTTTGGAGCCTTTGAAAATATAGCTATTTCCACTTCAGATATTTCTTTTCCTTAGCTGGCCGAGTTCTGAAATTTTTTGGCGATTCACGTTGCACAATCACTTGAAATGATGGTTTTTTGGCAGTTGCTTCCACACCTCCTGCAATTTTTTCTTTTTTTAATTATTATTCAATCAGCCAGATGTGAATGTGAATCTTCCAACTATCTCTCAAGAATTTTTAGAAGAGTAGTTGTCGCTTCATCATTGGTGTTTACACACCTATCTTTGTCGTAAAATCTGGGTCCTGAATGTAATGTCCCAAAATTCGAACAAATATTATATATATCAACATGTACATGCATACATACATACATATCATATGTAAATATTGTATTTACCTTTACATGATTTATGTATACGGACAATAAAATTTTGCATTCAAATAAATTTAAAATTATTCGGACCACCAGCAAAACAAAAATTAAACAAATAAAATAATACACCTAAATGTCCGTGGCTGAGAAAATCCCTGCTTAAGGAATTTCTTGAAAACTTATTTCAGGATATTCAACACATTAACGTGAAATGTTTTGCTGAAGAATATTAAATAGGTGAGCACCGTCGGAAGCTTAGCGCTTAATATCCTTTTCCCTTCCCAAATATCGAATGGTAATAGAACAATTTCATTAGCAACAAAATTGGCTACAGACATACATACAGATACATATATACATACATAGGTGTCCATGTGTCATATTGACGGAAGGGTGGTCCTAACGATAATATGCAACTTCACACCTATGTTTGCTCATATATTTCACGGAACCAAATCCGGAACTCTTCCACGATCCACAAAAGATAACGTTCACCGCCATCTAAACACGAAGTTCACCCATTGGCTGGACACCCTCTTAGCGAGTAAAGGCAGCATAGTGCGAGCGAGAGAGCGTCACTTCACTATTAAGGGAGAGACACTTATTCTCGGAGGCGTACGTTCAACCGCACAGCAAGAGCGGACGGTCTTTGCACGTTTACTCAGAGAAAGAGACAACGCGAGATTATTATTTACGTGGTGTTTATAGTTAAAGGAGCACAGAGTGTACCACACTAAACTGTGCCTAGTGAAGATAAAATAAAAACAACAACTAATGTTGGTTGGGTGGAAGACAACATAACAACACAATTAAACGGCGAAATGCTTGGAGCGGCAAATAAATCCAATTCATTTAATAATTGCCAACGAGATGGAGGCTCATTAGAGCTGATGGAAACGTTCCTGTTATTGTTCATTTCTTTGATGGTTGGTTGAGAAAGGGAGAGGGTGTGTTATTGGATATTTTGTAATAGTGTTGGAAGTGCGATGATGTGCAAGCACGTCTCACTGCAATATATATACTTATCTACATACTATATATGAGACGGTGTTTGTTTAAGTTACGTATGCAAACAATTATTTAGAACTTTCATCTACTTACATACATATGTATATGTATGTAAATATATACAAACTGAAGAGTAAATGCTTTGTTAGTACATACCTATATGAACATAGATTCAGAACATGTAAGGAAATTTATTTGTTTATAAAAATGATTGTAATCGACCCAAAATTGAAATCAAATGTACAAGGTGCGTTCCAAAGTAAACAGGACTTAAAAAAAAAGACAGAACAAATGGTTTTATCGGCAAAATCAATTAATTTTATTCAAAATAGTCTCCTTCTGCTTTAATACTGCTTTTTGCACGGTCCAAAAGCATGTCGAACGAGTGTTTTAGCTCGTTGCCCGGTATGGCCGCCAGTATGCCGGTGCAAGCCTTCTGAATGGCATCCACGTCTGCATAACGCGTTCCTTTCATCGGCAAATGCATTTTTCCGAAAAGGTAGAAGTCGCACGGCGCCATATCAGGTAAATACGGGAAGTTTGCGGAAATCTGAAAGTTAATCAGCATATT